TTGTTTTAATTGATAGTTACATATGAATCACCATGATACCTGAGTTGAGATGAAAGCGGAATACCAAACGATAGGGTAATTATATCCCACTAAAAGTTTTATTAACTACACAACATTACAATAAATATTAATCTCGCATAAGTATTAATCTTTGCTCATTTTCACACTTTAGTCCTCAATTATTTTTCGCTATATTATTATCATTATATTAAACTAAATAAAATATTATAACATTATAATATGTGTTGAAATTCTAAACAATCCACACACAATATTAACAAATTAAAATTTTCAATATACTGAGAGAACATACGATAAAGGAAGATAGAAGGAGTCTGGTAAGGCTACTTTTTAAAATTTATTGCCAATGGAAAGCATGTAAAAGTGATTGAGAGATGGTTATTTTTGTGATTAATAATTGATATAAATAAACGAGATGGGAGATGGCTTTGTGTTAGTACACACACTATGTAATAAACATAATCAAGATCATTGTAGCTATAAGAACCAACATTTTCTATTCTAGAACTATTGTCAATGAAAGATATTTATTATGACCTAATGGTGAGACTGTTGTCAATGAAAGCAATTGTTGTGGGCTAGAACTTCTCAAAACTCGAAAATATCCTAGATGATACTTATATATGTGAATGAATCATGTTGGGCATTGGAGTTTTGAAGAAGTTGATTTGTGTGAAACAAATTTTACCCCAAAAAATAATAATAATAATAATAAATACATGTTTGTTTTGGTCTTTGACGAAATTTTTTATTATGCTAGAAATATAATGTAGTTCTTTTTCTCTCTATTTTTTTTTTTTAATTCTTTTAGTAATGTCCATTTAAATAATGAACATAAGCTTGGTTTGCATTTCAATTTTATTTCAATATGATAAAGTCGATGAGTGTTGTGAATTTTTATTTTTATTTTTTACGATTTGTTAAGCTTGGTTCGCATTTTAATTTTATTTCAGCATTATGGATTTAATTGTATGAAATTTCTATTTTAGATTTATCTATTACCACAAATCATTTTAATTGTATATATACATCCATTTAGAGCATTCTAAGCACGTGTTAGCTCGACAATATTATTTTCTCATCATATTCATGCAAAAATGCATTAGTTTTTTTTATTCATATTTATGAATTTGTAGAGCCATCTTTAGCTGGATATCTATATGTCAAATCTAGTTCCACCATCGTGACTCATCTTCGGCTTAATGATTTATATTTTTAATTGTATGATTTTTATTTACTTGTTTTATTATTTATTAAACTATGATTTAATAATTAGTTTTAGGAGAGATGAGGGAATATTAGCATATGTGTAATTATATTGAACTTTGGTCCTTAGGATTTTGTTGATAGCTAAACAGTCATTTTGTATTGGTCTTCGACTAATTTTTATGTTAAGGGCCTGTTTGAGCCCCATTTTTTATGTAGAATACATTTTTGAATAGTAGATTGATGAAAAATGTGTGATTAAAAAAAATTGAATTTGCGTGCAATATTATTTTATTGAAAAATATGTGGTTGAAAAGAAAAGAGAGAAAAATATATCTTAAAAATAATTGGGATCAAACAAGGACTCAATAAAATCATTTGAGAAACTATTATTTTTTCACATTTATCCAATTTTCGGTATTAAACAAAGTTTGAAGTGTTACTTTTAATTAGCACGTTGTTGCATTATATTGGTATCTAAGCACAATCACATTCTTGTTAAATATATGTATTTTATAATATTATATTTATAGGCCTTGTTTGATTCCAATTTTTTTTTTTTTAAATATGCTTTTTTCAATCATACATTTTTCAATAAAATACTATTACATACAAACTTAAAACTTTTCTTTTTTTTAACCACATACTCTCCATCACATCACTATTTCAAAATACATTTTTTACAAAAATGGGCATCAAACAGGCTCTTGCTATATATATTTTTCAACATTGATAAATAAATAACCAAACTAACATATCAACAACTTTTTTTTTCTGCATGCCAGAAATATAACAGATGATTACATCATCGTCAAAAATACTAACAGAAACGAGGTTTGATTCATTAATAGATCATTAAAATAAGTCGGGTCGTTATTTTAATTTGAAAAATATTAACTTTTTTCATTCTATTAATTGTTAATATATATATATTAGTTGTCATATCTTAAATTTATTTCCACATTTGTAGGATTGGTGCCATCAAACAAAGATTATAATTATATCTTTATAAGACAACTGAATGTACTAAAGAATAGTGAATTATAAAAGTATCCACACTTCAGAAAGGTTCCATTGAGATCTGCAACAATAAGAATGGCCTTGTTGAAGTATTGAAACTAATTTTGTATGATGGAGAGACATTATATAATGTCAGAATTAGCCAATAATTTTCTTATAGAAGTTTCACTATTAGACTAATATGTTATTTTCTCATAATGTTTTTAGGGAAGTAATTTTCATACTATATTATATAAGGACACAATCGAAAAATTCTTTCACATGCTTGAGAAAGGAAAAACATACTAATTTCGAAATGGAAAAATAAGAGTAATCAACCTTTATTCAACATTTTCACATTATATACATATTTCATAAAAACTTTTATTCATATATATATTTTTTACAATAAAATTTTTTCCTTTAACAATATCAATTATCTCAACTACTTTAAAAAATAGTATTAGTATTTTAAAAATATTATGCATATATATCATATATTCGATACATAAGATATGCAACGCACATACTTATTACTAGTTTTGAGAAAAATAAAAACCTACCTCCCCCAAAGAATATGTTTTCCCCAAAAACAAGAAAACTATGCATATTATGAAATTTTGAAAAATATTTTTCATGAAAAAAATAGCAATCAAACACTAAAAACTTGAAATTCAGATGGAAAAAGACCATTTTTCATGAAAATTTTCCAATCAAACACACTTTTAGTTTCACTATCATATTTCGTCCTATATAGAATCACTTTTGGGTCGAATGGAATTCATAGGTACATGCATAAGCTCTCTCAAATAAAGATTTATTTTATTTTCTTTCGTCTATATTTCAATTGTTAATATGATATGAGAACTACTACTATAAAAAGTATTACATTCTTGATCTTGATATACATATGTCTTGTTAACCCTGTGAATTCCATGGAAGTAGAATAATCCAAACTAATCTGTCAACTTTAGCGTTAATTTTCCTTTTATTTATATTTTTGTGTATGATTAACCAAAATTTGATTATTTTTATATATTTTAACTTGCATCCGTATAAAGAGCATACTTTTGAGGGGTTAGATTCTATTTAACCCAATTAAGCCTTGTACATTTTTGTTGGGTTAAACCCCTTTACTAGGGCCAAATAGGCTAGTCCCCGAGATTACCCCTAGGGCAAAAGTCATGGATGCATCACTGGTTAGAAGTGAAAATCAAGTTGGGTTAACATACTTTTAGGGTAACCTAGCACAACTTAGTTTTTTGTCAATCAAGTCATGTCATGTCAAAACATACAAAAATGTGCCTGAAGACCATTTAGCATGGCTTTTGCTTTTCTCTCTGTAGAATAGTTTTTGTAAGAATCTACATTAAGGATAATTCGAAGTGTACATAATTTGGTTTATCAAATGATTTATCTACTCTCATAAACACGTGGATCCTGTGTGAATAAAACAACCCAACATATGATCTCCACACCTGTATTGTAAGTGTATGTAAAGCATTAGGTACAAAAAATTAGGTACATTTAGTATGGTCATCTACCTTAATTTAAGTTATCTACCAATGGTCACCTAATTTTACACTTAGTGTTACCATAGTCATTCAATTTGATTTTATTTCAACATGGCTATCCAAATTTATATTTAGTATCATTATGGTTACCCAATTTGAATTTATTTTACCGTGACCATTTAATTTCATATAATGTTTCACAATGGTTATTTAATTTCTTTTCATTAATTTTAAAAGGATAAAATAGTAACTTTACATTATACATAAACAATAAATTTAAAAATATATTTTTAAAAAATAATTTTTTATTTTATTTTGTTTTATTTTTGTAACTTATTTTAAAATAACTTTTATTTTAATTTTTTTCCTTATAAGATTTTTAAGGAAGGTTTTTTTTTTTTAAATAGGTTTTTATTTTATTTTATTTTATTTTTCTACTTAACATTGTTTAAATAAGTTTTTATTTTATTTTAATATTTTTAAAATAATTTTTATTTTATTTTATTTTGAAGTAACCTTTTTTTTTTTTTTTAAATAAGCTTTTATTTTTATTTTTTTAAGTATCGTTTTTGTTAAATAAGTTTTTCTGTTTTTTTAAAGTAAGTCTTTATTTTATTTTTTATATGTAATACAAAGTACCATTTCATCCGATATAAAATTAGTGCAAAGGGTCAAAAGAAGTTGGATAGTCATGGTGAACCATCATATGAAATTAGATAGTCATGGTGAAATAAAATCAAATTGGGTGTTTATATTAACAGTAAGTATAAAGTTGGGTGGTTATGGTGAAACAAAATCAAATTTGATAGTCATTGTGATACTAAGTATAAAGTTGGGTAGCCATTGATGAATTTAACCCATCTTAATTTTTTATTTGGAAACTTTTAGAAAATCTTCCTATTCTGAAATTAAAAGTTCTTTTAAATGAAGTTACATTGAACTAACTTCTTCTAAAACTCTTTTAATAAGAAGAAACACTTTCATAAAATTAGTCAAACAATCCAAAAGCAACTTTTAGATTTCAAAACCTTCTTTTGAATTTTTAAAGGTCATACCAAACGGATCCTAAGCCCAACATGTCCAACCCACAGGGAGTCCTCATCAAATGGATTGAAATCTTGGAACTCACTTCAAATGAAAGCAATTCTTTTAAATTTCAACTGAGTAACATGGAGTTTGCTTGGCATTGCAACTTACAAGGCATAAATGGGAAATGTTTAAATGTTTATAAAGACTGGAACCTAGAGACTGAGATCTCAAGATTATCAATCTCAATAACCCTTTTTCTTTGCTGATTTTCAGCTTCAAGCATCCAACTTCCCTTCTTTGCTAAATAATATCAATCTCATTGTGATAATTAGATTTAGCCTTTTTCTTGTACCAATCTTAAGTTAAATTATCTGTTAGAATCAACAGTTCTCCGTCTCAAAACGAATTTATGCTGTGGAATAGCCTGCAAAGTGTGAGTTCTTCTCTATATCATGCTTGTCCAACTGCTACAATCTGAACCCAGAGAGGCAGCTCAACCTTAAGCGAGTGAAGCAGTTGCCAAATGCACCATATTTGGTAACAGATTAATATCATTTTCTCCCATCAAATTTCTTTTAGTTACTTAGAAAGAGGTTCCCCAGAATCTCTGCATAAAACTCTCAAACATCTTGAGCCGCCTGGGGAGTAATTTAGATATTCACGAGTAATTATGCGGAAAGCAAATGTCGTATCGAAGTTGAGATCATGGAGATGGATCCACAGGTTTATTCTAATAGTAGGCACTCTAGCTATTCTAATCTGTATAGCCACCTTGTCGAAAGCCTATTATCTCAGGTTTTTTCTTGTTACCGATACCTCCTCCTCATGCTACTCCAACAGTTTCACTACTCATGCCTCGACTGCAACGGAGATCAAGGCGACAATCGAAATTGTTGTCCAGAAAATTCAACAAGAAATCGACAGGATGAGAGATTTGCCACATGAATCATCATCTTCTGAGTCGAAGCACGTTTCTTTTCTTGCGGACATTTTGGGCCTTGTTGAGTCTGTGAAAGCATCTTTATCACGTGCGGATGGGACTGCCAAGCAAAATGGCGTTGTAATTCATCCTCTGTCAGGAACTAATCAAGAAACTGAGGAACCTGCTGAGTACTTCTTGACAGAGGAAATTAGAAAGTATGTCAGGATCAAACCCAACAGGCTCAAAAAACAGAATTTCATGGGAGCTAATGGCACTTTCACCAGCATTGGACATGCATGTTTTTCGATGAAAAAACAGCTCGAAGAGTATATGGAGTACGATATAGGCGATATATGTAACGATGACTGGAAATTAGCGCAAAAATTGATGGTTCATGGCTGTGATCCACTACCAAGAAGGAGATGCTTTGCTAAATCCCCTCAATACTACACTAAGCCTCTCCCTGCTATTGAATCCATGTGGAAACTACCTGATGATCGAAATGTCCGTTGGAGTCAGTATAGATGCAAGAACTTCACTTGCCTGGCGAAAAACACAACGCAAAAGGGATTCTTTAAATGTGCAGATTGCTTCAATCTTGATGATCATGAATGGACTAGATGGATCAAACCAGCATATCAAGATCCCAATTCAAATCTAACAGCAGATTTTCTTATCAAAGAAATTCTTGATCTAAAGCCTAGTGAAATCCGTATTGGATTAGATTTCAGTGTAGGTACTGGTACATTTGCTGCAAGAATGAAGGAATTCAATGTCACTATAGTTTCTGCTGCTATAAATCTTGGAGCTCCCTTCAACGAATTCATCGCGCTCCGTGGGCTAATCCCTCTTTACTTGACGATAAATCAACGACTTCCCTTCTTTGACAACACGTTAGATTTGATTCATACAACAAGATTTCTTGATGGATGGATCGATTTTGTGCTTTTAGATTTCATATTGTATGATTGGGATAGAGTTTTAAGACCTGGAGGGCTTCTCTGGATTGACAGCTTCTTCTGCTTGAAAGAAGATTTATATGACTATTTGCAAATATTCAAAATGTTAAGGTATAAGAAACACAAGTGGATTGTTGTCCCAAAAAGAGACAAAAGTGATGATCTTGAAGTGTTCTTCTCTGCTGTACTAGAAAAGCCACCAAGGCCTTTCAGATAATCATGTTCATGAAGAGGTAACATTTATGTTTCTAGATCTGAGAGATCAGGTGCCAAAAACTAGCCCTTATTTTAGGAGAAAAAAATAAATGATTGTGATTAATTTTATTGTATTTCTTTTGATTTCTAACAATATTTGTCATTTAATTAAGAAAATTTTCAATCTTAGGAAATTTTAATATGAATAGAACTAGAATTGATGAATAATGTGGATAACTGATTTAGCCCCTGTTTGACTGTTATTATTATTATTAATTTTTTTTTTTTTTTGTGTAAAATGAGTTTTTGAATTGCAAATTTTTGGAGAACGTGCGGTTATAAAAGGAAAAAAGTTTTGGATTTACATGAAAAATTCTACATTGTGAACACGTGTGATTGAAAATAAGTAGAGAAAGAAAGAATGATTGTCAAACAAGAGCTTAATATGTTGAGTTATGAACTTTGTTCTCTATATTTTCTTCTCAATTCTCTCTTACCCACACAATAATTATGAATAGAATACAGCCAGTTTGCCAGGGTTAAAACAGGGAACGAGGAGATAGACTGAGGTGACGGCAAATGGTTGAGTGTTTTTTGTTTTAATTTTTTAAACTGTCCAATCGTGGTGCGACACACGTCGTCCCTATTTTTAAACATGTTTTTCACCCTAGATGTGTAGCACTATTGTTATGAATAGACTATTCGGAACTTAAAGCGCTTCTACCAAGAAGCTATGAAGTATACTAGGGGCACTAGACATGACTAGCCAATATAATAAATTGAAATATTTATTTGGAGAGTCTTTTTGATTCTTTAACGACTCGCTCTAATCTAGCTCATTGCAAGGTAGTTTGAATGGAATGTGCAACCAATGTGGGCGAGTTGAGTCCACATCTTGTTCTTGTGTGGTGCTGCCTAGGGATTTGGACTTCCAGTAAAGCCTTGCCTTAGTTTGGACAACATAATGGATGTGCTCATCGGGTTATCCAGCATTGCACTCATCCAAGCTTTGATCAAATTGGCTTTCCATGGGTTTTTTGGGCGAGCCGGAGAGGGGGAGCTGCATGGTGAGTTGGAGTGGGTAGAAGATGACTCGAGGCTAAGTGGGTGGCTCGAGTAGAGGTGAACTTAAGCTCACTACAAACGTGGCCCTACTTCAGGGGTTGGGCTGGGCTGGATTGGAGCAAAGGCATCAATTAGGGACGGATGAGTTTCATGAATGTGTGATTAAAATTAGTTCTCGAGTTTAACTTAAATTTTTATCAATTTGTTTTTAACTAAATCAAATAGGGGTTTAATGGGATTTCTTGCTTGAGGATGATGAGTTGATAGCTCTTAAGGAGGGCCTTCTTTTAGCTCTACAGCTGGCCTTCCGAGTTTTTGCTGCCGGAATCGACTCTGTTCATGTTGAACGAAGTCTCCAAAATGATTTCATCTTTTCCGGAATGCGGTTGATGTTTGATGTTTCTACTTCGCTAGAAGACACAGATCCTGGCTCTCGGTGTGTCATAGAAATGGAAATCAAGCAATCCATCACCTTGCATGTTTTCATATTGTTGATACATTTCGCGGGACTAATTGTATGTCGGTTTTTTATCGTCCGCTATTCGCAAGCATTTATCTTAATAAACATCCATATATCTTAATGAAATGTTTATGGTTTGGTTTAAAAATTCAAATAAAATAATTTATTTAATACTTATAGTAATTGAATATGGGATGGCGTTTTTATATAATTTCTTATTTGTACCAGGATTTGAACAGGAGATCACGTCAATAAATCATGGATGATCATTGATATCATGTCAAATTCCTTGACAAAGCTTATAGATTCATCTGTAGGTTAATTTTCATTCAAGTCCCTGAAATTTGAGGTGTATATGTATGTCAAAACTATCTCCATAGATTCGAAAATGACCAAATTAGTCACTTCATTAACTTATGTCCACTAACTGAAAAATAACCGTCTTACCCGGTTTAAATTGATTAGCACGTTCTCATTTACCAACATAATGATACCCAAATACTCTAATTTATTTTCGTCGGCCTTCCCATTATATTTTTCAATTTTATAATAATAAAAAAAATACTCTCAATATTTGATTGTTCAAATTAGCTCTCTAAATCATAAAGCACTCAACATATTGTATTCAAAAAGATGTGAATATAGTAATACTAAGAGAGAAGCTAGGCTTATAGGAACCTGTTTCATAGGTTCCTACCAGACCACACACATAAGCGGGTCCATATAATTTTTTTTAATACATGTGGGACCCCTACACAAAAAGGGGCCTTACAAAACACCTGTAAGTAATGCCCTAGATCCCTGCCAGACCACATACATACGTGGGGTCCACATAATTTTTTTTATACATGTGGGACCCCTAGATAGTAAGGGGCCTGCAAAACACCTCTGAGTAATGTCCTACACATTTAACTGCTTGATCAAATTGAAAGGACCATAGGTTTTCCGTTTATGATCGACCCTTTATCTTAGCCATAGGCATTCGAGTAGCAAGTGCAGGAAACGGAAACTTGAGGTCTCCACCCATTCATTTTAGCAGCTTGAACACGAGGCAAGACCAGATTTAACAATGGCATAATCTTTCCAATCTCCCATCAAAGTTCGAATTTTGGTTTCCTTTTCCACGTCCATATGCGTTATGAACATTTAGTATGCTGAATTAGACAGTGTTGAACAAAATTACGTTGTCTTTCTTTATCAATTCAGCGTATCAAATATGTTTTTGAAGTCTTCGACTACTTCAATAACAACATAATACATTCCTAATCATGATTATTGGCCATATCAAAATTTTAATAGCAGTAAAATTTTCCCTATTTACCAAGTTACCTGAAAAATGTTGGCTCCTGTAGTTCGACAGCTCAAATTCAACAGCACAGAAGACAGATAAGAATCAGAAGCACGCAGGGCACAGGGGGAGGGTAACGGGCGGGATAATGGGTCAATAACGTAAAAAAATAATGTATTAATTGTCATGTTTATGTACATTTCACTCTCTAAGATCTCTTCGATGTACAATCATGTTTGTGACAATCTCAATATTGTGCAAGCAAATTTCAACCAACATAGGTATCAACTTGTGCAACATAGAGGGACAAAGAATTGAAAGAACAAATTTCACCGTCACTAGTTGCACAGAAGTGAATGAAAAAATATATACCATTATAGAACACATTTTATATAAATCATCAATATCTCGGAAGCAGTCTAGAAATATGTGAATTGCTTTCAGATGAAGTGATTGGTACCGTAGAAAACTCTGAATCAGAATGTTCAGGCTTCAGGAAATTTCCACGAGATGACTCAGGGCTTCGGTTCTGGTTTTGAAAAGGGTTTGATCTTGAGAAAGTTGGAGCGGCGGCAGCATTATTCCCCTTTTTATCTGACAAAGGTGAAACACTCCCAATAGGGTTTGGACTTTCTTTATGTTCTCCATTGGCTCCATTTGCAGCATCCGTAGACTCCCTCTTCTCTCTTTCTTCGGTCTCCTTGAGGAGAAAATCAACCCACAGATTTGCGAAAGACTGGAAGAAAATGTCCAGAATATTGATTTTTGGTAAAGAACAATTTGGGATATATTTGGTTCACAGCATGGGACAGTTCTTGACAATAAGACAATTTCAACTTCTTTTACTTCAATAATCATCTCCACTACAGTCTAAATCAATATATCAAACATCCCATTAAGAGCGTGCTTCACTTATCTTAAAACTATTTTTCGTACTAGAGTCCTAATATGAAGTAATCTGGTGGTATAAACGGTTTTCCTTTCAGAGGTCATTCCTCTGAGGCGGAAAACCTTTTAGGCTGACTTAAAGTGGAACAAGATGTGCCTTGTATCTAATTGAAGAACCGTTTAATCCTTACAGGTGAATAATGAAAACACACGCTCAGATACCAAAATATATAAGTACCTTCCCACAAACGCACTAGAAGAATGGAAAAAGAAAAAACGATTCCTTTTCTCTGATCTTAAATATCCAGTTTCAGTTTTTTGAAGAACAATTTTTTATATATATATAAAATGTGCAGAGGCGTGCACCAAAAAGAGAATAAGGGTTGCCAGAGAAAGTGACAGAAAGAACAACCTGGTCCTCAGATGCCATAGTTGTGGGAGCTTCAGCGGAACCACCACCCATAATGCCACCAACTAATCGACCAGGAAGACCCAAGACACCCCGAACTACTCCTTTGCCAGCCCCTTGTTGGGCAATACCTATCCTTTGCTTGTCTTCATCAGAAAATCCCAGCATGCGAACGATAAGATCAAGAACCTGCGAAAATTAAAATGGGTAACTAACAATTTCTAAGAGGAACAGAAAAAAGTTTCTTGCTATTCTTGCGAAGCGTGTTCCGTCATTCGATCCATTATTCAAGCATTTAGTTTGGATGTTGTATTCCTTAAGACATTCTTCTTCCTATACAAGTGGGCTAGGAGAAGAGTTTTAGGGGGCTAAACAAAGTTACAAGAGGGTTACAATTATCATGAGAAACAGAACATAAAATATTTGTTTAATTGCATCCTAAAGTTTTCTAGGCTTTCTATCAAACGCATATTGATAACTGCTCATACATTGACCTTCATGAATCATTTAGATATATGGAGCACCATACCTCTTTGCTGTGGTTTCTCTGGAAGTAAGTCACCAGTAGTTTGATTACAATGCGCCTGCCATAGAGACCATTCATTAAAACTTCACAGTCGAACTAACATAAATTGGCCAAATACATTTCTGTGAATATTTGTTGAATTGTGAACGTAAATGGTGCGGCAGAGTACAGATCGGACCAGTACAAACTGGCAAGACAACAGTAGAACCATGATGAGGTCTATTGTTTAGGGTATCTGACTGAAGATAAAATGAACTTCAAAGGAATGCACATCAAAAGCTCATAACATCGCCATAGTGCATTAAAGAGATGAACAGAGGCCTATGTAGAAAGTACTCAAACAATCAAAGAAAACCAACTATCCACCATATTAATGTTATTTCATTATCCATTTGTTCAATGATAAATCGCAGTTAAATAAAGGTCAACTCCCAGCAAAACCAAAGCGATGACCAAGAATTTATAAGAAAACGATATATAAACCATCAATTTCATAGTTCTACTCTCACATAAAATCGACAAATTCTTCTTTGAAAACCAGTGCAATGATAAAAACAAAAACCAAAACCAAAAAATGTCGACCAAACTATTTAGACATAAATAGAGACAGCTCATATTCATCTAGAACTTATTCAATTTTCTGATCTCATATAATGATAAACTGAAAATTTAGGAAGACTAATGATGTAGGGAGATTACTGAATTAGTAAATAACAAGAAGGGAAGGGGAGGAGAAGAGAAGAAGAAGACAGAAACGAGGAGGAGGAGAGAAAACGGCCAAGCCAACTTTATAATTCTTAATCAATTCATCAACTCAGAAATTACAAACCAATGATAGGTTTAAATAATGAAAACCTAGAAATATAGGGCCAAGCCCATTATTCAAGTCCTAATTAAAATACGTAAACTTAAATAAAAGTCCAACTAAAATACTGAAACAATAATAAAAGTCCAACTATAAAGGATGTCCTCATCAACTCTCCCGGGGTGGGAGAAAACTCGACCCTGTCGAGTGGATATAACACCGTAGACTCCCGTCAATCTCCCAACCATAAGCTGAGTGGTTGGGCAAGTGTCTTCCGGCGTCTGTAGAAATGCGTCAGTGGCGGTCTGAACCTGGTGTCCTCATCAACCCCCCTCGGGTGGACGGGAGGCGATCTGGACCAAGGAAGATCCTGCTGACTCCGATAAAGCTCTAGCAAATCTGGATCCAAAAGCTGTAGTGTTTCCCTAGAGATCCATGCACAATCAGAATCTAGTCGACCAACCCAACGAACAAGGAAGCGCTGAACCTCTCCATCACTAGTGAACACAGTTTCTTCATCTAAAATAGCATCAATTTTATCTGTGTGTACTGTGAGAGGTGGTAGTGGGTTAGAGGGGGCCAAAGAATTAGGATCAAGGTTCACAAAAGGAGGTAACAGGGGATTATCTGAGGGAATGAAATGGCCTTTATAAGCTACAAGGTCTTCAACATTGAAAGTATGGTGGTAACCAATGTGGGATGGAATGTCAACAATATATGCATTTGGACCAACTTGCTTTAAAATTTTAAAAGGACCAGCACTACGAGCTTGCAATTTGGAGGCGGGTCCATGTAGACGCCGCTCTGGCCTAATGCGAACCATAACGTAATCCCCAACATTAAACTCAATATGTCGTTTATGTAAATCAGCTTGTAGTTTATAATTTGCATTACTAGCTTCAAGTTGTTTATTGATCTCAATGTGCAAATCACGAAGGTGTTGTGCAAATGCTTCGGCTGAAACTGACACTCTAGCCTGTGGGGACATAGGGATGAGATCTAATGGTTTCCTAGGCTTGTATCCGTGAACGGCTTCAAATGGACTCATACCTAATGAACGATTTACGGAGCTATTATATGCGATTTGAGCGACAGGAAGGATTAAATCCCAATTTCGAAGGTTCTCCCGGACCAGACAACGTAATAAGTTATCGAGAAACGATCGACAACCACGAAAATAGAATCATGCTTCTTTGGGGTGCGTGGTAGTCCTAGCACAAAATCCATACTAACGTGTTGCCAAGGACAATTAGGGAGATTACTGAATTAGTAAATAACAAGAAGGGAAGGGGAGGAGAAGAGAAGAAGAAGACAGAAACGAGGAGGAGGAGAGAAAACGGCCAAGCCAACTTTATAATTCTTAATCAATTCATCAACTCAGAAATTACAAACCAATGATAGGTTTAAATAATGAAAACCTAGAAATATAGGGCCAAGCCCATTATTCAAGTCCTAATTAAAATACGTAAACTTAAATAAAAGTCCAACTAAAATACTGAAACAATAATAAAAGTCCAACTATAAAGGATGTCCTCATCAACTAACCAGCAGACGAGAAAATCAGAATCCATGGACATTCTATGAAGTGAAAAGATCTTAAATATTACTAACATCCTGATTTAAGGCTAAGCATCTTAACCTCAAAATGCTGAATGAGTGATCGAGATCTTTCACGTGATCAATAATTGCAGGACAGCAGGGACAGTGGGAAACATGATGCCCCAATCCCCACACCCACCCAACCAAGCATACTGTCTGGCAACTTCAAACATTAGTGACCCACTGGAATTCAGGAGCTGGTGTAGCCCATATTGATTATACAGACGGGACGAGTGTTTTAAGATTTAACCAGTAACAAATGGTTCTGGGTGAGATCATGAAATGGCATGGCCAAGATGAGAGAGATTTTCATACTATACATATACCAGTCAGCCATATGTGTCTTATTCTGTTAATCCATGCCTATTCTACCCTAACCCATCTTCTGGGAGACACTTCTACTGTCTTCCTAATATTTTTCTAAAGAATCTCACTTGCCTTGTATGGCAAATTCTACAATGCCTAAAAAGAGAACCAAATACCAAAAATATGGAAGAATGAAAATTAATATCTCGCATTAAGAATATTAACATGCAAAATCCAGAAGAGATATGCATGAAAACTTCTAGTAATCTAACCTGTCAACAAGAAAATCAGAGTCCACAGACATCCTGTTTAGCCTTGTCATGCTCTGCTCAAGAGCACGTCGCAGTTTTTCATTATCTTCCTCGAGCTTCTTAACTCTACTCTTTCCTTCACCAAGCATTCTTTCAGCCTGTGAAAGCTTTCCCAATATTTCTCCTTTTTCCTCTTTCAATGCTCCTGTTTGTTGGTGTGCATCCTGGAAAACATTTGAAGTGAGACAGTAGGATAATAAAGTCAATTTGCATTCAAACACAAACGGGCAATTTGCTAAATCAGCAATATGACAGTCGAAAAGCATACCAGCGTTAAGATATCAAAAGCACACCCAACAAAATATTACATCAAATCTCATAGCTGTAAGATGCAGCTTATGTATTATTAAGAGGCATACAATGTTGAATAGCTTTTAACTTGATTGACGCATAATGTCACATATGAAATAATCAAGATTAGCTTTAGTAACTCTATATTGCCCACAGTTTAAAGACAAAATTTAAAACAGTATTAAAAGAGTAAAGACACAGACTGCAAAATAAAAATTTATGACAGTCAAAAAGTTAGGAAACTACACCTTCAACTGCTCAAAAAGTCTAGCTGATTCTTCTTTTGCAACTGCCAACTCTTCTCTAAGACGTTCCTGAACACAAAGTTTTGTACATATGTTATTGAAATATCCAAATATCCTTTTCCTTCCTTATTTTATGTTATACATGAAATTGAGAAGGAGAATAACCTTAGCTTCAATTTCAGCATAATACTGGCCAAGAGCAGATTGCAGATTAAGAACTTCCATATTCTTAGCTTCTATTGTGCTAATATAGCTAGCCAATTTTCTATTAAGTTCTTCAATTGTTTCCTTAGACTTCTTCAGCTCACTGTTATTAGACATTTTAATTTCTTCCTGGCTTCCAATTGCCTGCCTAAGAGCTTTCTCCAAATGCAATATTTGAACTCTTTGGTATTCATTGGTTTCTCTCAGTTCCTCAATAGTTTTACTATCCTCATCCATTTTCTCTGATTCTTCAGCTTCCTGTGAACAAAGCAGACACAAGATCAATTTGACTAAGCAGAATATGTAAATGGGAAGTGAGATACTGATCCCAACAGAACAGAACTTCAATGTCATCATCAATATTTGTAATGGCCCACTCAAAAAAGAGAGACCAGAAAAGTGGCACACCTTTTCCAATAAGTGCTGCTTAAGACGATTCAATCCTTGCAACGCTTTGTCCCTTTCTTCGCGTGTTTCCTTCAAATCTTTCTCCAGTTTCTGCAATGATTGCAGCATCTCTTCCTGTTCTGGAAATTTCTTTGATGGTTCTCCCTTCTAAACAAAAATTACATACATATTTAGAAGTTGAAAATCTCTACCACAAAGAATCTTTAACAAATAGCAATAAATGCATCATCTTCTTGCTTTGAAATGAATTTAGAAGCAGACAAGAATTAACAATAGTAGTGGGAAGGAGATAACTATGGAACAACAAAAAGGCTAGAATGAACTCACCTCATTACCGCCAGATATGTCTTTATGTACTGGAGAGGAGCGAACTTTTAAAGCAGCCTCAAATTCATCTCTTTCTTTCTACCATGGAAAAACAGCATTGAAGCAGGTGTAAGGTCCAAGATTACTTGAATGTTGAATATGATGTAGTACTTCCATAGAAATTAATATGTATTACTCTCTGCGAAAGATATGTTCATAAGCCATGGTAAGGCATTGACCTTAATATTTCTCTTTTCATTCTCTAGGGTAGAAATAACATTTTTTAATTTCTCTCTCGTGTCATCGGTGTGTTCTCTCTCTCTTCCATGTAACTCCATCTGCAATCTTCTTATCTCTGATATCTTCTGATTCAGTTCATCGTGTACTTTGCTCATATCTTTGGACATCTGAAAAACAGGAGGAAAACCTAACAGTAAGTCAACATAATTACATAAAAAGTTGGTAACCAGAAGGATTTGTAAAGCTGTTGTTTTGCTACAAGGCAGAAATGCAGAATTGCATGTCACAATTACAGGTGATGTTAATGTAGATATTTATCAAGTGACATGTTCAAATAGCAACATCCAACATATAGCTTTTTCACCAGCATAATTATATCTAAGTTCAGCAAGCTGATGACTCCAACTGACAGCAGTTCAACATTAAGGTCTACTTGTAGACCACAGACAGGAAATGCTGGGTCTTTTTTGCCATAATTTAAGTACCGGGACAAACAAGTGACTCCTCTAGAAAAACTGACACATTAGAACTCTGTTATTTGCAAAGCAAAGTTTATATCACGTTGTGACATTCCAACTGCAACATATACCAGAGACAAATGCATTAGTTATTAAGAGTGTCGTCAACAAAATTCATTCACTTTGGTTATGTAGCACCAAAGGCCCTAGCATCACAGCAGTCATTGAAGAAGAAATAAGATAAAAACTCACTCTATCACTGTCATCTTTTAATGATCTGAGCTCCACCTGAAAAGATGCATTCAAATTCTGCTCCTCTAAGAATGAATTGAAGCTGTCAGCTCAAATACTCAAATGTCACATTATCAGAGATGGATCTTCCATGAGTACCAAAATACCTTGTAATCTTTTCTGCAAAGTTGCAAATTTGTCACGTTCTTTCTCGAGTTCCATTCCCAATTCTGTCGTTCGAACCTCGTGAGTAGCTTGCATTGCTGCAAGGGAACTATTTTTTTCTTCTATCAAATCTGTTAGCTCCTAGAAGGCATCAATATATATTGTCAAGTTCATTCACCATAAATGACAACGTGCAAAATAGAAATTAAAGTTTTTGACTAAGGAAATGGGAAGAGTTAAAGAAAGAAAAATTCCAATACCATGAAAAATTATGACTTCTAAACGAAAAAGACACAGTTTCCTACCTTTCCATTGGCTGAAGTGGTTCCATTTCCTAGTCCATTATGTTGTGGGCTTGCAGTAGAACGATTCTTTACTGCAGTTTTACTTTGGCGGCTAGGTGAAAAATCGTTACTCCTCTGAACAAATTACAGATAATATCAGCCAACACCTTGTTGTAATATATGCATTGAAGAGAGACTTGTGGCAATATTCACGACTTTTCAATTATGAAATAGAAGCAATTAAAAATTCCAATCATTTCTTTTTGTGTGACTGCAACCAATACACAACTATTAGGCAATCACTTCACATCCCATACTCATAAACATCATTATTGAGTCTTAAACTCACCTGCCAAAGTAATTGTGCGTTATCAGACAAAATTATTGTCCAGAAACCCAACTTTATCAAGAGTTCACATACATAGCATCACTATAATCTCACAAAGAGGTTCCAGGACTTAATTGTACTTTGCTTCTAATAAGATCTTAAAAAGTTAGAATACAAGCTTTGCTACTAATAAGATCAAAGTTAGAATACAAGCTTCGTCCACTATTAATTTCCCTCAAATCCTGTACCACATATGGATATCCAATTCTCAAATCTTTAAACCGCATTAATTTTAGCAGAAATCCACTGACAGATTCTCTTTCTTAATTTAAAATAATAATAATAATAATAATAATAATAATAATAATAATAATAATAATAATAATAATAATAATAATAAAAGCACTTAACATTGTCAATCTACCTTGTGCACATTTTTAGATGCATTCAGAGCAGCATTAGTTGTAAGAAGATTTTGTTTCAATGAGTCATTTTCTTCAGCCAACCTCAAAATTTGATCCTGTAATAAAAGGCACAAGTAACACCAAACTGTTAGATTCCCAAATGCAAGGACTAATAATCTAAAGCAAAAATTCACCAAAGAAAGATTTTATTTAGATTAGATTTCAAAAATCAGTCATGTAAAATGCTGAAAGATGTGTTGTTACACATAAAAGATACAACAGATATACTCATAAGTTCAACAAAATGCATGTAACACATTTCTTCCATCATCAGTTAACTGACAATTTCAATATATGAATAACAAGCAATCGCAACTTATGAGAGCTTAGATTAGAATATTTTTAGTGTGTGAAATACCTCCTTTGCCTTCAGCAATGCGGCATAGTTAACCGATAATGCCTTGATCTCTGCCTCAGACTCCTGAAGCTTCTTAATTTCTACTTTGTATTTTTCGATCTGCAAGAGCACATATGATACATGAATTGATGTCAGATGAGGGAGAAAAGGAAAATTATGCCAAATAATTAATATTTCCAAGGAAATCTATTGAGATTGTGCAAGCATGATATAAAAATTTAGAATTTATGTGCAACAGTGCAGATGCTTTGATCGAGTCCCTTAGATTAATTTCATTTATGATTAATTAATTAGATGTAATAGTGCAGACATTCGCAAGATGCAAATATATTTTCCACCCATATTTGCAAAAAGAAGAGAAGCTTCCTTCAAGTCAATCCAACAACACTATGGTTAAAGAGACGATGTTTTACCCTAAAACTTTGGAATATGGGAGCTAGTTGGATTAAAAATTTGTACTTTTAAGAATGCAAATAGTACTCCAGCCTCAAATTACTTAGCCCAAGAAGGCAACCAGTTACAACTATGTTCATTTAAACCAGCAGTCCAAGGTATACCAAGAGTGATGACTTGCTCAAAAAACCCACAAGTGATACAGCATTTTTCAGAGCTCTATTCATCAGACAAGACTTAACAGTATTGTTCTAAAGCCTAACTGCAGGCTACACAATGTGCAAGCAATTTTGTGGGATTTCAGATCATAGCTGAAAGCCATGCTGATATTATATAGGCTGCAACCACTTAAATACCCATGAATCAATGTGGCAGAGCCTAAAAGACCAGTATCTCTTACGTATTAGAGTTACTACATGAAAATGAGATGAATCACTGCAATGTAATAGTGGAAATCAGCAAATGAGATGGATAATATTAGTGTCACTTTTTAGCACTTCACAAAAAAGATAGTCTATTCCCAAAAAGTTATCTTCTTAAATACAGAAATCAAGAAAATCTAAATATTTTATTTCTCCCAACAATTTTATTAGAAGAATGTAGCAATTTTTCTCTATCGAAGGTGAGAAAACATGATGTTTTGCATAAGCCATAATTCTCACTAGAGATGAAAACTTGAAATAGGTTTTTGACTCCTGAATTACACATATCACTTACTTCATAATTCCTTGAAATAACACAAAAATCCTCTGAAAAGTAGTCATTTGCACACTCTCAACCCTATTATGTCATGAAGACATCATTTCAGCCTCTCCCACAGAAAAGCTATCGGCATTTGTCAGCGACTAAGAAAAATTATATTCAAATACACCACAACTCAACTATAGAGTATTCATTACTTGCATCACTAAGAAACAAGAACTGATATTCCATCATTCCATGAGCAACAATAAGAACGAACTAGCTATTATGCATAATTCTCACATCAAGATCTTTCAAGTTCACATAGCGAACGTACAACACATTGAGAAACATATAAATATCGTAGAAAATCTCCAAACAGGCATCGAAAATGCACAAATTTAACCTCGAGCCACCCCAAAACTGAGTTTCAACAAATTAAACGCTCCACTTGAATCTCAAAAATACATCAGCAAATTAAATTAAACCTTGCAACCAATTTCAAACTCCACCAATATACACAAACGAAAATCATAATCAAACAAATAGATAAAATTAAACCAAAAAAATAAAACCCACTGGATATAAAAACACTGCCATTGAAATCTTGAATAAATAATAAAATACCTCGTGATTATGAGGGGACTCAAATCCATTAGCAATTGGCGAATGTGTCGGTGACCTCGAATTAGTGAAATTGCGAGAAATCCTTTGCTCAGAAACCGAGTTACTATAATTACTATTATCAAATCGATCGTGGCGGGGAGTATAAATCGACAGATCTTCATCGCCATCATCGTCGTGTACATCAAGTGCCATTTTACTCAAACTTTCCTTCAAATTAGCAACCGAATTCCACATCATCAATCAATTTCACGCCCAATATGTCCTCTTCTGGTTGACGTTTACGAATATTTTGTATATCAATTGATAATTTGGGGGAAATTAATTGAATGGGCTAGTTGTAGGGCTCTGTAGTTCTATAATAGTAGATCTGAGAGCTAAAAAGGAAATTGTAAAGAATTTTATTTTATTTTATTTTATTTTATTTTTATTTTTTAAACATTTTTGTAAGTAATTGTTAGCAGATTATATTACGTGGAAAACCCGGACATGGTGGATGATGTAATAATTATTGCCTGGGCCTTGGATTGCATTGGGTTGACTATTATAGGCTAAAAGGCGGCCCATTTTGAAACCAATTTCCACTAGGAAAAAAAATACAATTCTAAAATCAGGTGATAATTTTCATTATTCTTTAATTAGGTATTTAATATTAATAATAATAATAATATTATAAATTAATTTTTATACACTCTCTCTACCCTAATCATTCAAATGCTAATAAATTTCTTCCTTATCTTCGTCTACCTTCTATCTTCCTATACCGTCTCTCTTTACCCTTTCCCTCACAAATGGACTCTCATCGCCATCATCATCGTCGCCATTGCCACGAGAGAGTACTTTCGTCAGAGACCATTTTTCTCCATCCCCTCCATTGTAAGACGGTGGCGCTCATAGCATCGCATTATGCAATGAGGCCGCAAGCAACGATGGTGATGTGGAGAGACTGCACTGTGCAGAGAAGAGGTTGAGTTCACATAGATTCGTGTATAATAGCACTGTCATTCCTATTTTTGTGATTTTGTTGTGGTGGTTCTGTGTTGTACGATGGTGTAGGTGATGATGGTTCTATGTTGTGCAGTGCGTTGGTGGTTTGTGGTTGGCGGTCAATTTTTCGGTTGTTGGGGATTAGAGTGAACTTAAATGTTGTAGTATGTGGTTGTGGTGGTGTCGGATGTAGTGGTAGGTTGTTTAGGCTGTGTCGATGTCTATGTTGCTGGTAGTGGGATTGTGTTGGTAGCGGTAGTACTATTAGGCTATGTTGGCGGTGGTGGCCGCAAGTGAGCGTGGTAATGGTGTAGGATGTGACCAAATATTTGGATAGGGTAATTGACACTAAATGTCCTTACTTTTCAAGTTCATTGTAGAAAACGTTTTCACCTTTCATTTTTTGACATTTTTTCCCTCATTTCAACATTTCTTTGTGATGGACGTCCTTTTCACCTATTTTTAACTTAAAATGGCCCCTCCTATTTATAAAAAATAAAAAATAAAATTGCACCTATAGGCCCAAATTTTAAAAAACTGCAAATGCCCCACTTGACCCTCCACTGCCAATACCATTATAAATAGATGAGCCAATTTTCTCTGATGTTTTAACATTGACTCAATATCAAATCACTTGGCTAGGTTCCCACTCCTCCTGCCCCTCTTGTCGCCAGATTTTAGTTGTCAACCGATGTCAGAAATGCTAAAATTTGTCGATTGCCACCCCTTCCTCCTCCTCCGCTGCAACCAACTACAGAGCACAGCCTCAGCCAACATGCAGAGCAATAGACCATTTTACTACGGTTTTCCTTTAATCAAATTGTAATTACCTTAATCATTCAATACTCTATACATTAGCAGGTTCCATGAATGAATTAATTAATGATTAGTAGAAGAAGAAGTTCAATTCCCGTTCTTTATGTATGTATATCGTAGCGTGTTAGGAAGAAAAAAGATACTAATTACTTCATTTTCTTTCCTTCTTCTTTTTCTCCATACACCCTAATTCAATTGATCTCTTTCCATCAATTTATATTTAAGGAGTTCCATTAGATCACTTTAATTTTTCCAAGAAATAAAGTAAATAATTGCTTAATGGGGTTGCTCATTGTGGACTTTTTCCTTTATTGTTGAGTGACTTTAGTAATGTAGAAGCTTGTAGGGGTCCGAATTTGCGTGTAGGAGGAGCATGTTGAAATCTTAGTCCAAATGTTCTCTGATGTTTTAACATTGATTCTTTTGGGGTTGGGTTTAGGTGTTTATAGTGGTGGTGGTAATGGGGGGTCAAATGGGGTGATGCTGTAGGGGTTGGGTTTCGGTGCTTATAGTGGTGTAGGTGCTGGCAATGGAGTGGAGTGGTGGTTGTTGAGGTTGAGGCTGGTGGTGGAGTGGGGGAGCTATTGTGGAAGAAGGTGACGGTTTTTTTTTTTTTTTTTTTCAAATTTAGACTCATTTACAGTTTTTAAAAATTTAGGTCTATAGGTGCAATTTTTTTTTTTTTTTTTAAATATTAGGGTTTTTTTTTTTTTTTTCAAATTTAGACTCATTTACAGTTTTTAAAAATTTAGGTCTATAGGTGCAATTTTTTTTTTTTTTTTTAAATATTAGGGTTTTTTTTTTTTTTTTTTTTCAAATTTAGACTCATTTACAGTTTTTAAAAATTTAGGTCTATAGGTGCAATTTTTTTTCTTTTCTTTTTTTTTTTGTTTTGTATAAATATGAGGGTATTTTGGTCATTTTAAGTTAAAAATAGATGAAAATGATGTCAAGCGTAAAGAAATGTTGAAATGAAGACAAAAATGTCAAAAAATGAAAAGTGAGAAAGTTTTCCACAATAAACTTGAAAGGTATGGACGTTTTGTGCCAATTACCCTCTTTGGATATTCCGAGACCAATTATTTAGTTATTTGTGACCAAGTATTTAGTACCTAAAAATTTAGTAATTTATAATTGAAAATTAATTTGTAACTAAATAATTTAAAAATCTATAACTGACAAATAAATTGAGACCTATAAATTTTTTTATTTGTGACCTATCAAAATTTTTATTGTGACCATAAAATAATCTTTGACCAATTAATTTGATAATATATGATCAATAAAGAAGTTGTGGCCTATAAGTACACACATGTGACCATTAATTGTAGAATTATAACCTTAATATATTTAATTAGTTAATTAATATGTGAGTTTTGAATTTTGAAACTTAAAAACTGAAAATTGAATTGTTTCATATTTAAAACCTGACTTGTAAATTTTTCCCAAAATTGTAACTACCAAATTACGTTTTAGTAATATCAAACTTTCATAATTTTTTTTTTCAAATTTTAGGTCATAATTTAATATTTTTTTCATATAAAAATAGATAATAATTGATTTCTTTCAAGTTTAATGTGATCATAATTGATTGTTATTAAAACATAATGTAGATTTATATCTCTTTACTTACAATGTGCACTACAAGGAAATCTGAAATATTGAGGGTCCTTTTGATTTGTGTTTCATTCTTCAGTTTTAAATTTTGAGTTCATTTGTAATTTTTTTTAATTTTCAAACTCCATTTTAAGATTTTTAAAAACGCATTTGGTTTGTAATTTTAAAAAGCTATTTTTCAAAACGGAAAATTAGATAACATGTTTCATTTGAAATTTTCAAAAATCATTTTAAAACTTTTTTTCATGAAATTTAATTATTTTGTAAAAATAAAATAAGTGTATATTAATATTATCAAATTATATATGTATTGGTGCACTTATGTTACTATTGCCAGATTTCAATGTCATAAAATTGAACTTAAAGTTTATGAATTTTACATATATTTTCTAGTTATAAAAGTATAATAAATAATAATTTGAGTTCAAAATATAGGAAATAAAAATTAAAACTAATGACATAGACGAAGAATATTTTTATATGAGTTCTTTTATTTATTTATTAATTTTTATGTAAATAATTAATAAGAGTTACAACTATTTTTATTTTTGTAAATTTTATTTTTCTAAAATTTTTTATAATTTTTTTAGGATTTTTTATTATTTTTTTTTCAAAAATGTTATTTTATTTAGAATTTTATTTATTTAGAATTTTAGATTTTATTTTTTCAAAATTTTTTATTTTTTGAATTTATTTTGTTTTTGAATTATATATATTTTTTAAATTTTAAATTTTATTTGTTAGAATTTATATTTATATTTTTAAAAATTTATAATTTATAAAAAAATTATTTAAACATTTGTTTTTCCATGTTTTGAATATTTTAGAATAACGTCAAAAAAATAATTATTATATTATAAATTTATCTTTGTTTTTGAAAATACATTTTTATAAATACCAGATCAAATACGTTTTCAGTAGAAAAACTGAAAATAATTTGAAAATAACAAACCAAACACTCTTTGAAAACGCTTCATGCTATACAATAATTGTCGATCATAAACCGGATTGTGATGTGTTAAGTGATTGCGTACAAGTGACGTGATAATTATGGCTTGACAACATGTTTTGAAGCGTGACCTCTATAAATCAGATGCACGATTTGTGTTCGTGGACATCATATTAAACTAATTTTGATTAAAAAAGTATCTTTTTAACCTCAATTTTAAATTCTCCGAAAGTACTCTATAAATATGACCATATATTCTCTCCAATTTCTCTCTTCATTTTTTCTTTTCAAAAAATTTAATAAAGTGAAAGATATCAATATTTTCAAAATCAAATTTCGAAAGATAAAATCAGTTAAAACTTAGGGAATTAACAAATAAAAAATATCAAGATTTAAAAAAAAAAAAATCAAATTTCAAAAGATAAAATCAATTAAAATTTAGCACATTTAATGAGGTTTAAATATTTTTACAGTATTTATTTGAATTAAAAATACATGATTTTTACATAAATTAAATTTAGCACAATCACCAATGCCTCTATCATCGTTTCTTCTAACTCAATCAAATTTGAAATGCACCACTACCCCCGCAATCTCAAATATAAGACCCGCCATCACCACTTGCATCGCCTATCTAAAATACCACAACCACCTTTGGACAATGTGGATAGATTTGAAAATGTAAATCATTTTATTTATTTTTTTAAATATTGGAGTTCGGCTTTTTTGTATAAGCCGTGCTACTGAGCCAGGCTCCACCTCAGCCCCCGATTTCACATCTTTTTTTTTTCCAAGGGCCGAGGTGGCTTTTTTTTTTTCCAGATCCAAGGGCCGAGGTGTTGCCACCTCGACACTTGGATTTAGCCTTGTTTTTGGGCCTGTTCAAGCACGTTAATTCTTTTTGGATACTGCAATCGAGTTTGATTTGCAATGTTCTTTCTTCCATGCTGAAATAAATATTTCCTACTAGGACTTAACATGAGGCCCTAAGGGGGACATTACTTGTCTACGAAGA